GCGCCCACCTGCCCGCCAACAGCCAACAGCTGCGTCGCGTCACTGCGTATTATGTTTCTTAATTTCTTCTTTTTGTTTATATAAAAAAATTAATTAAATCTTTAAAAATTTTAATGCTACATTAAAGTAAACTCAAAAGTTGCCAACTATTTAAAAATATCACTTTTTTTTTTCAAAATAAATTTAAAAAAATTAAAGCAAATTTGCACAAACAATTGAAAGGGTGCCGCAAGCTGTTGTGGCGCGTGTGTGTGTGTGTGGTGTGTTGCTTCGCAGCTAAAAATAATAACAATTTCATTTGCCATTTCCAAACGGCCTCAGATTTTTAATAAAATAAAAAATTTTCTTAAATTTTCGCAAAACAAAAAGAGCGGGAGAGAGAAAACGCAAATGTGCGAAAAAATCGTCTGCAACACGAACCTAAAACATTGCAAAGCAAACATGAAATTTATTTTAAACAACTTTTCACTTGAAAATTGTCTTAAAAACAAAAACCAACATCACACTCGCATGTGTGTGTTACACTCTGGTTTACTCTAAGCCTAAAAAGCTCTTCTCTGCGCTGCTTTAAGTTATTTGAAAAAAAAAAAAATAAAAAATGTGAACGTAAATAGCATTTAGTCAACTTAAACGCCACCAAAACAGATTTTACTGAAGAGAAAATAATATTTATCGTTATATTTTTCTATTCTTTTCTTTCGTACTGCTCGCACGCTGCTCAATAATCGCGACTGACACGTGTCTTCTGCATCCAAACACTAATCTGACACACTATTTTTTACAACAACAAACAAACTTACAAACCAAAAAATCGGCAATCCATTTTTCATAAATAAAAAAATCCCTGATATTCTTTGGCGGCGTCCTGTTGTATTCGGTCACKTGTGTGGTTTCTATTTACCATGCTTGATATTTGTTTCGAACTTCGCAGATTTGGATTTCGGATAATACCATGGAACAAATGCCGGTAAGTTAAAATTTTATTTAAATAATTGTGTTGGAATTTACGTTTCTTTCTGCAAAATCTTTGTATTATTTTTCCAATTGTTGCATGACTAAATCATTTTTTTTTTTATAATTTTTTGCAATTTTAATTTTAATAAATATTT